GAACGGGCGGTTTTGTGCCTAGGGTCCAAGCCTACGAGAATTATTACGGATCAGTCGAAGGTATGGTTGCATCCTGATAAGCTTATATCATGTGGATTACGGTTTCTCACTTTTATAGAACAAAATTTCGGTGTCGATCTTGAGGCTAGAGCTCGAGCTGATCGGAAGCGAGTTCCAATCCTTGTGACGACCCTACTGACGTATTTGGACAATCGTAAGCCGACAATATCCCTTCTGTCCACCCAAGTGCATCTGAACTAACCAATATCCTCAAGACTATCCCGAACTTGAAGGTGATGAGGCACGCCGTGCGATCTGGCTATATGATGTTCCTTTGGCCGCAACGCATCACCTTCGCAATGCATTGAATGACAGCAAAGCGGATTACAACGAAATCCTACAGAAATACGAGATACCCATTGTCGCGAGCGTGTTGAAATTGTACCTTCTTGAGCTACCAGGTTCGTATCAGGAATGGTTGAGGTGTCCTAGTCCATCGACCTAATTTCTTATTAGATTCCCTTGTTTCTTCGCAAGTATATGAGATTGTTAAGACTATCTATTCAACTACCGCTCATGAGACGACCGAAGACGGACGGATCAAAGTCTTGCAAAGCACGCTTGGCCAACTTCGTCTCAACAACATCGCTACGCTTGACGCCATCATGACCCATTTCACGCGACTTATAGACCTAACATCTGCCGACGAGGCATACATCTCCGCATTGGCGCAAACACTGGCTCCTTGCATCCTCCGCCCTCGTGTTGAGAGCAGCCTTACGATGAATGAACGTCATAACTACCGTCTCATGCGTGACCTCTTCGCTCACAAGGATACTATCTTCGGCGAGCTGAAGCGTCAATCGAGCGTGCTTGGATTAGGCTCAACATCCAATCGCCCACGTGCCATTAGCACAGACGAGAGCAATCGCCGTGCTGCAATGGAGGCAAGAAACCGTGCCATCGTAGACCGCAGTCGTGCCAATAGCCCAGCTCCTCCACGCAAGCATCGCCGAGACCGCTCCAGTGGTGCTTCGGAGGCTGGACGGTTTCCAATCCACGTCACTAGCCCGACCGAAAGGAGAGCAGCCACGAGGAGCAGTTTGGAAGTCCCGGCCAGCGTTGATTCTCCCACGACGGCAGAGCAATTCACAAACGTGAACATTCAGACCAACGATAGCGCCACCAATGGCATATTCAGCGATTCCCCAGCCTCTGCTGCCGCCAGTGAAAACGCCCTCTCGGAATCATCTAGTCCTCCGCCTGCAGCTGACTCTGACGGCTCTCCGACTCCTACTCCTACCCCCGGCTATGTGACAGCCCCAGGCGAGCCTGAAAAGCGCAGCTCGATTCCGCGCTCTGGTGCTATGTTCAACCGCAAGCCCGGCCTCGGCAACCGGTCCAGCTTCCCTACCGTTGCAAGCGCGGAATCAGAACCGGGCAGCAAGCGGAATAGCCTTGCTGAAAGTGAACCCAAGGGTGTGACCTTGGAGGACAAACCTATGGATGATTAGATGTTCAGGGCATCGATGTCTTCATGCTGTCAACGCTGTCATGATCAGATTGGAGCGAGGCTTGAGTTTACCGTGCAGACTAAGGTAGATCACATGAACATCGCCGCTCGAGCTTTCGGCAGGTCTTGTTAGTCGAGCTGGTGATGGCATTGCTTTCTGATTCTCTGTTTTCTTTTCCACAGTTCTCTGTATTCATGCATACAGCCCTTTGCCCCCCTTAACACATACCCCTTTCATTATGTATCTTTATCATGTCTATCCAGGTACTTTTCTGTCGTCATTCTATCCGTTATACTTTCTGTTCTTTCCCTTGAGTTCTTTCCCTTGAAACTACTTTTCAATTCGTGTTGAGCCTATCGAGAGCGATTGTGAATCTGGTTATATAGTATTTTTCTTTTTGTCAAAGCATACTCTACTCGTAGAGGTCCGCGGAGCGTCATCCTGTAAAATTATGGTTCTGATCGACTCTTTCGTTGTAATCATATATTGGTGTCTAATACAGGAGCGCCCGGCCCAAACCCCTTGAGCTATGTATGCTTGTTGTTCGATCCAACCAACAATCCCAGACGCCCATACAGATTGCTAATAACCAACGCTCAAAAATTCCGAACATAGCATATGTATTTCAGTGCCTCTAGCTCTGAAGCCGATGGTATTACAGACCTTCACCCATGAGTAATCTTCTGAGAATGCCTTCTCCCGGGCCAGCAATCTGGCTCTCGATTTCCTTCTGTGAAACAAAGCAAACAAGGCCTTGCTCATCCATTCCTTTCCTTGGAGTCATCGGCCCACAACCCGACTTTGAGGGAGTGCGTCTGATATCAGAGCCGCCAGATATTGTTCCACCTCGACCTCGGCCCTGGAACTCGCCGACGAGGCCTAGCGTCTCCAAATTACTGATGACATCCTTGAATTCAGTAGCTGTCAGGGGATGGAGGATATTGTCTTTCCGACACAATGTGCAATAAGTATCGAAGATCTGTTTAATAGTAGGGACCGACATCTTGGTTTTGGACGGTGTGCCAGGAATATCACTCTCGCGCCGTTTCCGGTCCAAAGCGAGGAGAGAGCAGATAGCCGCTTTTTGCTGTAGATTGAGCGCCTGAAGTCTTTGGACGGTTCCTTGCCCAAAGGCAGATGAAGTAACGCGAGCTACATGTCCGATGCTCGCGCGTGGTGCCGTAAGAATAGTATATGCTGTGGTGGAATTGTGCTTGGATGCCGAAGCTCTGGCCGGGGATGAGAGGTTGTTATTTTCAACCAGGATGGTTTTGGAAGGGCTGTCAACACTCGAGCTCTGCTTCTCCAGCTTTTGTAGCGTCTCTTGTTCAATGAGATCAATTGCACACTTGACAAGTTCGAACGCTTTTCGCAAGTCACCGGTCTGGGATGCAACTTTCTTTGCGCACAGCTGTATAGCTGCAGGCTGGACAAAAGGCACAAAATTCGGTTCCACATTCTGTTCAGGAGGAAGCAAAGACCGGAGGCGGTTAGTGATTACGCTCGCGATTTGACTAGCATTGTAAGGTAAGAAAGGTAGCAGGCACGGCTTCAAGTTCTTCGCCTTCAGTTGTGGCAATGAGCGATCAGTCAGATCAAGCGCATTGGCGATTCCGATGAGTAAGAGACGCGATTTGTTGTTCAGAGACCATTCAAATAAGGACTGTAGAACTCCAGCATCCGCGGTGATGAGATGGTCTATCTCATCCAAGGTGACCAAGAACAGACCATCATGTTTTTTGTCAGGAAGAAACATGGCTTTTAGCCTATCGGCATCGCTCTTCCTGAAAAGCTGGCCATCATCACCGAGATCCTCAATGAGCTTCGAGTATACGTCTCGGGGTCCTCGCATACTGGCGCAATTAATATGCGCGACCTGAACAGAGTCGAGTTCCAGCCCGTTGCATACCTCTCGGACCATAGCACTTTTGCCGGTACCTGGGGGCCCGCTGACATAAAGACAGCCGCCCTTTCTTGAGGTAATGCCTTCCTGTATAAATGAGGTCAACTTTTCACGCTCAGCGTCCCGTCCAACCAATCGACCGGAAGTCGCCCCTCGCGCAAATAGCTGCCTAGCAGTCGTATAAATAGTTTGAGAAGTTGTTGGGCTCGATGTCTGGCGAGGTGTGCGCGGGGTCATCAACTTGCCACCAACCTGCACTCTGTGCTTCGGGGTGACTGGGGGCGATTCGAGGGCGTCTCGGTATCTAGACTTTGAAGGGGTCTTGAACTCGATGGGGTTTGCATTTTCATCTGCTGTTGTCAGCGTGAACTCATCATAAATCCGCTTTGTAAGCCTACCATTGACCACTTCTGAAGTCCGAGGTTCGGAACTGATCTTCGAGGGAGACACGGTCTTAGTGACGCGTACAACATGCTTGATCTTGTCGGTCTCGACAAGCGTGATCTTGATGCTAGAGTCATTTTCTTGGTTCGAGTAAGTGCTATTTCTTGTTCGTGATCGGAGTTGGCGCGTTGAGGATGCAGAAGGCTCGTTGACTTCCTGGAGGATGCGAGGTGGTTGCGTACGGCGCCTGCTGGAACTACGCACCGGCAATGTCGATGCTGATATCAAGAGTGTTAGTACATGAGATCTAACTTTTCAGAGGATGCAGCGCAAACAGGGTGGTTATCTGCCTATCGTACCTTCTGTCTCAACGGCACCTCGTTGGCGCTTGCCTAGGACCGAGACGGCGGCCATGACCAGGTGTTCTCGCAGATATCTTGTATTTTCGGAAAGAGCTAGATTAAAAGAGAGATGATGAAGTAAGTGCGAGGCAATGATAGATATACGCTTGCCATGTGCCTGCAGCTATGTATTCACATTTCACAGCGCCTTGGAAGGGTTACGGTAGCATCATCCCAAAAGAGGCATGATTCCTTTTCTCCGCGACACCTTTCACGCGTCTGCTACCGATACCGCGTCGCGCGTCTAGGCGCCCTTGAAGAGGCATATTAGCCGGGTCTCACGTGAGACATGCCCGTCAACCGGGTGAACAGATGCGGCAACTTGGCCGGAAATTAAGATACGAACCATACCGTCACTTTACACCACGAACGGTAAGGTAACCCAAGAATATCTTACGCCAACGGAGAATCAGATCGCCCGCGGCCACGGGCAAGTGCGTCACTGTTGAGTGGATGATCGAAGACGGAGAAGTACTCAATACTTGAGACTTTAGAGGTATCATTCCTCCCAAACTAGTTCTCTTCACGTCAGCGTTTTTTCCTTTCTTTCAAGCACTCTTCGCCGAACCAGAGTCGACTGCATATATTCATTTTCTCTTCAGTAATTCCAAGAGACGCCCGTCGCATCTCCGAGCCGTGCTCACCATTGATCTTGAAGTCTACAGTTTGCAACTGTTTGCATCACTTTGCCTTTCAACGGAGAATCATCACCCATTGTCCTGCACCGGAGACTGAAATCGCTCACATCGCCCTTCTTCCCTTCCTTGCCTCTAATATCTCCAGTTCCACTTTTCCATCATGGAAAGCGATGTGGTTGCTCAGTTCACAGAGATCACCGGCTCGAACCCTTCGCTGGCGACTCAGTATTTACAGCTGGCAGACTTCAATATTGAGCAGGCCATGCAACTCTATTTTGAGAATGGGGGGGCGCCTTTGACTGAGGAGCCGGTTTCATCAGCCACCGGGCCTAGGCCTCCACGCACTGCTGGATACGAGGATAATTCCGGTATCGTACACATTGATTCCGATGATGATATTTCCATCGACGAAGCACGTTCTGCGGCTCGACCACAGCAGCCACAAGGGTCGATGTTTGAGGATGATGAAGCTATGGCCCGTCGTTTACAAGAAGAAATGTACCGTGACGGAAGAGACAGTTCTGATGGTGTGAGAGCTCCTATGGCCCGCACGACGGAAACGCTCGTAGGACCGGAGGCGGACTTTGACGACGGTGACATGCATGCGAGTATTTTGGGCCAGTTGCGTGCGCGCCAGCAAAGAAGCAGTCAGTTCTCCTACAAATACTCATTTATTCCTAGCGCCGCTGTCTTCAGCAGCTTTCTAACTTGGTTATCTGCACTCTAGGTCGACCTGGTATATTCAATCAAAGGGACACTGCAGCAATTTGGACAGGTGATGATGAGGGCTCGCATCGCGAAAGACTTGCAGCGGCAACAGGCGGAGCATCTGAGGCTTCCAGCAAACAAAACATGCTAGCAGAGATGTACCGGCCCCCATTTGATCTCATGTCGCGGTTGCCTTGGGATCTTGCACGGCAGGAGGGTCGTGAAAATGAGAAGTGGTTGCTCGTCAACATACAGGATCAGTCCATATTCGACTGCCAAGTATTGAACAGAGACTTGTGGAAAGATCCCAGTGTCAAGGAAACCGTCAAAGAACATTTCATATTTTTGCAGTATTCTAAGGATGATTCACGTGCGACACCTTATCTGCAATACTATTTCCAAGCGAGCGATGTCTCTGAGAACTACCCGCATATAGCCATCGTTGATCCTCGGACAGGCGAGCAAATGAAAGTTTGGTCCGGGCCACCTGTGGTCAAGCCTGCGGAATTTCTCATGCAGCTTCATGAATTCCTTGACCGTTACAGTCTCAAGCATAACGTGCGAAATCCAGTGGCGAAGCGAAAACCCGAAAAGAAGGAGAAGAGCATCGACACGATGACCGAGGAAGAAATGCTCGAGATGGCAATGAGAAATAGCTTGGGAGACGGGGTAGCACAGACTCAGAGAGTGGAGGATCCGGACGATTTGACCCGCAGTACTGAAGACGTCAAGGGCAAAGGCAAGGTCGCTCGTACTGAAGATGTCATTATGGGCGAGGACGATCTAGCTGAGGAGGCACTGGAAGAACCATCATCACTGTTCTCGTCCATTCCGGACAACCGGCCACATACTGAGCCACCAGCCGATCCTGCCACTACTACCCGTATTCAGTTTCGCCATCCGTCCGGAAGGGTCATTCGTCGCTTTGCTCTGGCTGATCCCGTCAGAAGGATTTACGAATGGCTCAAAGCTGACCCCCCCTTGCCGGAAAAGGCAGGCGTTGAGTTTGAGCTCAATTCGATGGGCCGCAATCTAATCGACTCACTCGACTTGAGCATTGAGGAGGCAGGCCTCAAGAACGGAACTGTCATGATAGGATACCTGGAAGACCTATAGACGCGAAATCGATCCATCGCATACCACAACTCTCAATTTAGAGGCGTTGCGACGGGGATTTGGCCATTTGAGCAGGTGATAGAAATACTTCGCCTTCTTCTTTTCTATGCTTGCTTCTACATGGGCATATTACAAACAAGTTATCTCTGTCTCATGCTGACTGGATTTGTCCATTCTGCTATGATCATGATCTTATCAGAACCCATGTTACATGTTCCCTTGACTTGGTTAACTGACCTTACCTACTCAAGGACAGTGACATGTGGCTTTGACGACTGCATCTTTAATATTGAGGTCACTATAGATTTGTGACCCACCCTCTTGATAGGAATGAAACTTGATCTCAGTGATGAACGCGTTCTGCCTTGTAGTCTGAGCTCCATTCACCTTTGTATGATCGTTATCTGATATCAATGCAGACACTCATAAGTTCACCGCCTAACCAATCGGTCCAAGACCAGTGCGGAGATACACCTCACCGCCTGGCAAAATCACCCCCGCGCTGCCCCAATCAACGGACTGTTTCTCTGTTGTTGTCTTGTTGTTGTTGTCGCCAGAGACGCAAGGGAAACCCACTTTCACTTAATCAAAACTAAGCCGTCTTCAGGGTCTGGCTCAGCTTCTCTGTCCTATGTGATATCCTGAATCTAGGACTAGCGGGAAGCAAGGTTTCAAGGCAGTCAACCTTTGCAGGTGCCTGTCTATAGCCCCTCGAAGCACTCAGCTGGTTAGAAACCGCAGAAGGGACAAGGGATCTCATTGAGAGCCAAGAAAATCCTTGATCTAGTAATGTGATCAGGCTTGATAGGGACAACCATGTTGCTAACAACGCTGACAGTGAAATTCCTTTGGTTGATATTAACGATTCCTCCAATGTTACGGCTGCTCCCCTCGATTCGCAAATCACGCACCTAGCCTGTTCGAGGCGATTGGTATGTAATTGACTCGGGGTCAATGATGTATCTCCCCAGGCTTCCCGTGGTGAAAGAGGCCCTTGATACAGACACTCTCGTTCGGCCCGCGATTGATTAACACTTGTTTTGTGCACTGGCTGATCGTTGTTCATCTGTTACAGAGCCTCTCCAAGAGCTTGTATTCTCCTTGTGATTGGCTGCTCATAGTTCTGCGAAGATGGAAGGCATGGTCGATCCTGAGACCATTTACATGAGGCAGAACTGTATTGGTGCGTATCAGTCCCTAGTATATTGGGTTTCATTGATCGAGAGCCGACTTTGCCAACGTTAATGTTCTCGTAGGTGGTGGAAGCTTTGGACGAGTTTACAAAGGGTATGCTGCCGCGCCCTTTTTTCTACCTGTTCATTCCGAAGTAGCTGACCAGGTTCGTCTTCTCGCAATTAAGCGTCGATAAACGTACCGGCACCTCTGTCGCTATCAAGATCATTGATGTCGAAAATGCTGAAGACGAAGTCGAAGATATCATCCAGGAAATCGCCATCTTGTCTGAACTAGATTCTCCATATGTCACGAAGTATCATGGCTCTTTTCTCAAGGGCTCTCATCTATGGATTGTCATGGAATTCTGTTCGGGGGGTAGTTGCTGCGATCTTCTTCGCCCTGGGCCCATTCCGGAGGACTATATCATGATAATCATGCGAGAGTTGCTTCGTGGCCTGGATTATCTGCATAGTGATAAGAAATTGCATCGCGACGTGAAAGGTACATTGCGATCTTCAATTGAGACTCATTTTGGAAGCTGACAATTTGAACAGCGGCAAATATTCTTCTCACTTCCAACGGGCAGGTGAAGCTCGCGGATTTTGGTGTTTCTAGTCAGCTCTCAGCAACTATGACAAAGAAGAACACCTTCGTGGGGACCCCATTCTGGATGGCCCCAGAGGTCATCAAACAGTCAGGGTATGATTATAAAGCTGACATCTGGTCTCTGGGGATCACAGCCATAGAGTTGGCACAGGGGGAACCACCTTATTCCGATATCCATCCAATGAAGGTCTTGTTCTTGATTCCTAAGAACCCTCCTCCCACACTTCAGGGGCCTTTTAGCAAAACGTTCAAGAACTTTGTCGAGCTCTGTTTGCGCCGTGACCCAAGGGAAAGGCCATCGGCCAAGGAGCTACTCGAGCACCCATTTGTCAAGAGAGCAAGGCGAACGACTTATCTGACAGAATTGATCGAGCGCTATGAAGGATGGCAGATCCGTAATGGCGCTCAAAATGGCGGCCTTGATGAGGAGTACGTACAAGATCTCCCGTCGGATGACAAAGATCGCGAACATGAGGAAGACCTGTGGGACTTTGGCACTGTGCGCCCTGTAGGACGCACAACAGCTCGAAACCCGATGAAGGAAGCCGATACAAACACGAGGAACAACAACACCATGGGCTGGAATTTTCGAAACATGCCTCACGAGGAGGTCATGAAATCAAGCCGTCCTCAACCCGAGTCACCGAAGAAAAGAAGCTCGTTCGTTGTAGCTAGTGCATCCCCCACAAAGGTTCCGCTGCCACCGTCGCCTGTTAAACATCCAGTTTCAGAAGTCAGCCCACCTCAAACACCTACGCGTTCTCAGAGGCCTGTTGCTGGGCAACCTACGGAGAGTCCTAGCACAAGCGAGTACAACAGAGCTCTACAACAATCTTTAGCGCAGGACTCTGTGTTTCTCCAACTCAATCTCTCCCCCAGCAGCTCTTCGGGTCCATCGAAAAACAGACGCGTCGTTCCAACTCCAACTGCCGACGCAACACTCTATCCCTCGCAAGGTTCGACTCAAATCTCCTCATCTCGCACCGAGCAAAAGCCTACTGCAGCAGAAGTTCAATTTCAACCCCATACTCATTTACCTTCGCATTCACGTCCTCCACCGGCCCCTAGGCATTTATCGCCCTATCCACAACAAGAGAGAGACACGCCGCGCGACAGGGGCAGTCCCGAAATGTCCGTTCGTCGTTTCGCCCCCAAGAACATAAGCCGCCATATCGAGGAGACGGAGCCAGTGTCAACCAATGCGCCTGAACCTCAGACGGTTACGCCCCTACTCAATGTCATCGTTCCTGCCCTCAGATTCGCTGTGCGTCGTCGCAGGGAACAGGTAGATCTGATCTCTCGTCAGGCTATGGCACACAGTGGCGAGAATCCAGACAAACTAGCTGAAATCAAGGCTGCCCGCCAATACGTACAGTTCAAGATTGAAAGCCTTGTCGACGATTTAGTTCACTCGTTCGCTCGGATAGATAAGTGGGACAATGAGTCGCCGGTCGGAATGGGTTCGGGCGTGGTTTCGTTCCTTGAGGGTTTCCTCGAGGAGATTCTCGTCCGCATTGAGGTTCCCACTGACGATGAAAATGATGACGAAGGATGTTATCCATCTAAACCAGTCGAATCTGAGGCACGCCATGCTAAGAACGCACCTAAGCCCTAACCACCCTCACACTCAACACATGATTCCATCCGACTTGCTCAATGCATTGCTCCTGAAGGCCCTCAAGTCGGCATGTTGATTGTGCTTCTATTTTCTTTTGCCACTGAATCGAGTTTTGAGTGTTTCTCGGGCCCGGCTTTCAGGCGTCGCTCAAGGAGTTGCAGGACTTCTACTTGAGAGGTGCGCAAAGCTTGACTTGCTTGTCAAGCCTTTGTTACTATTATTTTGTTTGGCTCTTCTTTACGACACGTGCGAAACCATCCAACTGTTCCTTTAGGTTACAAATTTGTCTGTTTGTCTGTTTCCCTTATCATTCCATGTTGGATTCTAGGCTGGTTCCTTTGAATCTATGTCCGAGAGGTCTCCCTGAATCGATTTTCGATACCTTGGGGTCTGTGTCCGCGGATTCGCGAAGATGAGTGGAGATAAGCCTATGGTACAAGTGAGGATGTACAGGAAGGTGTCCATGTCAAGCAAATCAGTAATGATTCATGAAACAAAACCATTCTGTGCTACTTTTCCTTCTGCTTCAAGGCAGCTGGGTGTGAAATAATCTTTTGTAGAGCGAGACACGGTACCAGCGCTATATTGCACTTCAGGCCCTAGTCATTATGAAAAAGTAAATGGTCCCTGAAGAAGACCTTCGAAATGGAACTAACAGAGTTGCGAGCATGGACATGTGTTCAATATAATGAACACGTGTCTCTCACTTTGAACGGGGTTGATTGTCATCCTGGACGGATGTGCAGCTTGAGCATTACAACTGTATAGAGCGGAAGATTTCTGCTCGCAGTCATCGCATCGAACCAAGATTGATTAGTTCCTGCTGAGGGTAGACCGGACATTATGGCTGGCGATATACTTCTTGTGGCCGCAACAGGTCAGAGCTGAAGGAGCACTTGAGCCCGCGCCTGATTATCTGGAGCTGACATTCCTTGGTCTGACATGATGAAGTTCAAAGCAGAGGTTGTCCACGTATTCTAGGTACGGCTGCGCGCTTGAGGAAAGTATTTCCTCCAGGCAGCAGGAAGATCTCCTATTGCTTCCTCTAAACTTGACTATGTATTGTGCCCCTGATCGGCCAGTGCCAGCGTGAGTTATGTGCGTAAGGATCTTGAGCCTGAATCGCTAACCAGCAGGTTTTCTTCATTTCTGGGCAGGGCATTCTTTTCCAAGCCACAACTTCCTTGTCCGCTGTTCCTGACACAAATCAGCTAGCGTTTTCTGACTCTGACAAGTTCGTCCCCTTTAAGAAAGGCTGCCAGAGGCTCTCCATCTCCGTCCATATAGTCGTTGATGAACCACGGAGTCGAGACACTGCTTTTCAGCACTTCGACAGGAACCGGGTCATGAGAACTTCGACTGACTGTCTGGCCAAATTCTATCCGCCGGGACGAAAAAGCCAGTCCGTCTCGGGGGTTGGAATCAGATAATTGGTGATGTTGAACTCATTGGTATTGGTATGTGTATTGTCAACGGCAGAGTTTGTGGGACCGTTCCCGGTGAGGCCATGGATTGACATCGGATTGTTGACAGGCTCATTCATATCCAGATTTGTCATGTCTTGAGCTCGTGTAGGAGGGACACGGGGCACATTGAAGAA